CAAATTTCTTTTAGTGATATATATATGTGTGTGTGTGTGTGTGTGTGCATGTAAAAGAAGACAGTTTGACAGGTTCCAAACATCTAAAAAGTTCTAAGACTAGGTCATATTCTACCATGCAAACACACACACACACACACACATATATATATCACTAAAAGAAATTTGCATTGAATGTGTTTGAGTGGGGCTAAAATTTGGCTCTTGGAATAGGCTGCATAGCACTGGGATTCAGATGGTTTTTGATAAACTTGGTATTTTAAATCTGAGATTAATTTAAATAGATCTGTAGAGAACTACTGATTTTCATGTCTATATATTCCTTTTCTCCTCATATGGTCTTTTCCATGACTACTCCTAAAAGATGAGTCACTTCTATACCTTTGAAATACTGTAAATTTACGAATACTGTTACTTTAAGAAAAGGACTGTACTTGAAATGATTGCCCAAGAAGAAAAGGTTTTGAAGGAGATTTGAAAATAAAACTAAACTCTGATGCAATGCTTTCAGTCATATGTCAAATAATAAAATCTGGCCAAGCCCACAGACTAGGGTCCAAAGAAATGACAAGTGCCTGACTCTTCAAACAGAAACCAGAAGGCCTGGTGAGAGTTAGAAGACCTGGGTTTGAGTTCCAATTCTACCATGTCTCAGGTTTGTCATAGTAGGAAATCACTTCCCCTTTTGGAACACAGTTGTCTCAGCTGTAAAATGAGAGATTAGGATTAGTTATTCTCTTGGAAACCTTTAATCTCTTAACATTCTGAGATTCTGTGATTCTTTCAAATGTATGTAGTTCAGTGAAAAGGAGACATGCAATGAATTCTTTCTTTGCTGCTAATTAGCTGTGTAATCTTAGTATACTATAGTGGAAAGAAGACTGGATTTGGAGTTTAGAGAATGTGGGTTTTGAATCCTAATTCTGCTAGCTGGGTGACATTGGCCTGCAAGTTAATATCTCTGTGTCTCAGTTTCCTCATCTATAAAATAAGGGTATTGGAGTACATGGCTTCTAAGCTTCTCTTCTGACTGGCAAGCTTTAGCCTATGGTCCTAAGTCACTGAACTTTTTGGGACCTCAGTCACCTCAACTGAAAAATGAGGAGGTTGAGATGATCTCCAAGATCCCTTCCAGGTCTCAAGTTACAGGTTTCGGACAGTAAAGCTGTATGCTAAGTAATGACCAAAATGGTAATCCAGCAACATTCTTCAGCTTGGGAAATTTCAGTGTGGTCTCTTGTATCTCACAAAGACATTGGCTTCAGTTGGCTGCACACTGAAATTTAACCCAAGTCTTTATTGGAAAAAAATCTTCCCACAGGAAATTAAGATCTGATTTCAAGGTCTAATTGAAGTGGAAATCAATGCAGCATCATGATGGTTCTTCAGTGGTAAAGGAATTAGGAGACCATGTCATTTGGCTGTTTCCCAAAGATGAGAAAAGATCTTAAGCACATGAGGACTCAAACCTGAGCAAATCTATCTTCCCTTCCAACTTTAATGTCCCATGATAAGGCATAGCTCTAATACAGTAAGAAATAGGGATAATGTCATCTAGTGCCTTTAAATTTGTCAAAGGGACAGAAGTGGTATAAGGATCCATTACGTGCCTTTCTGAAAAAATGGTATTATTCTTATGGTTCTGACCTGCACAGAAAAAATGAAGAAAGCAATGGAAAACAAGCTAAAATCAACACAATGAAGATGCTTTCTGCCAGTTGCTGTCCTTTTTCTTCCTTTGTATTAAAAGGGATGAGGAAAAGGGAGCTGTGAATGCTTGATCTGAATTTTTGATTTCTAGTTGTACCATTGTTCTTAGTATATTCATATGTCAGAGGAAGGCTTCTGATGTGGATGTCAATTCATTTTTAAATAAAATCAGTATTCTAGTTCCATCCAGGAAAAGTGGTCAATAAATTAACCGAAAAGTTTTTTTTTTTTCCTGAATGCCTACTGTCTGCCTAGTATTGTCTTCTTTGATCTGGGTAGGATACAAATTCAGGTGTTCACATGGATTGTGCTGGCATCTAGATAAGGATTTGCCTTCCCTTAGACTCAATTTGATTTCTTATTTGTAAAATCTTTATTGATATGTGAACACTCCCAGAATTGTAAGACCACCCACAGATGACAGATGCTTGAATGTGACAAGTACAAGTAAACTGCATCATTATTACCAACTTGCATTTTGAGGCAATGTGGGCAGTAGTCTCTGGATTCACAATAATTTAATATGCCCTGCTACCCAGAGCTAGGTGGTATAGTAGGGAGAGTGCTGGACTTGGAGCCAGGAAGACTTGAGTTCAAACACAGTCTCAGACATTTACTGTGTGACACTGGGCAAGTTACTTAACCTCTGTTTGCTTCAGTTTTCTTATCTGTAAAAAGAGGATAATGACAGCATCTATCTTGTAGGGTGGTTGAGGGGATAAAATGAGATAATAACTATATAAAATGTTTTGCAAACTTTTAAGTGTTATATAAATGCTAGTTATTATCATCATTATTAAAAACCAGAGCAGTTAGTTATATTAGTACTGGCAGCATTTTACTTTCTTCATGTCTTCTAGCCAGGTAGAGCAATTCTAATCAGCAGGCAGCTAGGTGGGTTAGTGGATAGAGTGCTGGTCCTGGAATCAAGAAAATTTAAGTTCAAATGGGGTCTCAGGCACTTAATAGCAACGTGATCTTGGATTTACCCTCTCCTTCAATTTCTTCAAATGTCAATGAACCACCTACCTCCAATGGTTGTTTTTTAGTATCAAATGAGAAAATATTTGTTAAAAATAAAAGTGCTTAGCACAGTGTCTGGCACACATAGTAAGAGCTATATAAATGATAGCTATGCTATATAAATGATAACTATGCTATAATTGTTGTTATTGTTATTATTATTAATCCATAATTGTTCCAGTTAGATATAGGGCATGTCTATATAATACAACTGCAAATGAGCCACAAATTTTTGTGCTAACATTTCATGCACACAAATGGATCTATTTTTGTAAATGAAGGCTATTGATTGCTCTTAGCAATCAAGGTAACCTGGAGTTGAAGACATGTGGCAGAGGTGCCCCAGTCTTCTCCTTTTTGGCAAATCCAAAAGAGTTTTGTCCACTAATCATCTTGGTCATCATGCTAGCTTGTAGGCATCAGAGTATTGTAGGGAAAGCGATTCAGGGTATGTGGGGAATCAGGAGTAAATAAGACGGAATCAATCATCTTCATGGTATGATTTCAGGGAATAAGAGACTCAGTCTTCCTCAATATTTTCTCCTCTTCCACCACCCCACTTATCCACAATTAGAATTTTTTCATTTGGTTTATTAGATTTATCCACTATTAGAAGGGACATCTTCTTCCTTTCCCCTTCAATGACACATAAGATATTTAACCTTATCAGTCAATTGTTCCTCAGTATTAATAAGCTTATAGAACCTTCCTTAGATCAGGTTTTAATAGGAGGAAGGGGATGTAGACCATGAGAGACAACAAGGTGGATTTGGGGGAGGAAAAAGGAGATAAAGGGGAAAGAAAAGGAAGCTATTTTTCCTAAGATAAATTTGGCTTATTCACAATTTTGCCTAGGACCTAGCCTAGTACAGATCCAGACTTTATTTCTTTTATGCACTTATGTGCTAAAGGATGAAATGAAGACTGTATATGCTATTATTAATATCCATTTTTTCTGATCTTCTAGGAAATTTATCTACTTTGATAGGTTGCCTTCAAACCTACCCTTCTCAAATCCTGGAGAGAACAATTTAGAAATATTATATATTATTGGTTCAGCTTTGATAGAGGATCCCGCAAAAGACATGAAGCCAATAACAGATGATTTTTTTTCAGTGTTGGCAGATTGCTGCAGACCGTGTTGACTTTGAAGAAGACAGCTAGAAAGAGGAAAGACCCTACACACAAGCAAAAGTCTTTGGCAAATCTTATTGATGAGATAGCATGCCATTCTGCTGCTTGGGCAACATGCTGCCATATCTAGAGACCCAGCATGGAGATATATTGACATCTGATGTTCTGGCGGCACAAGTTCCAGGTCAAACTAAAGGACTGCAAACTCATCAACTGATCCATTCTACCTTGAAGTAGTGGACTGGGTTCAACGTGGAGGTAATTTTCAATTTCAGGCCCTAACTACAGAAGGTCAGGATAAGTTTCTAGTAATGAGTCACCAGAATGTATTTCATCCACAAATGTAGTAGCTGTGGTCACTGAAAGTTGTTTAATTTCCATAGAATTGCAATATTCAAGGGGAATGGAAGACATCAAGATACTAGAATAAACAAAATGCTGAGCAGATGAGGTTTTTGATTCTTTGTAACAAGTTTAAAGAAATTCCTTGAAAGGTCCTTGAAATTCTACTTCAAACATTGCTGAAAGTTACATCATTTGGCCAACTTGCAGTACAGTCACCTGAGTCAGGGTGGCTAATTTTAAGAATAACATCCTGATTACACGGGTAAGAGTCAAGCTGAGAACAATGACAGGTCCCATAGATAGCACCTTCTATCATTCATTAAAAGGAATTAGAACTTTTTCTGGGAGCTAGATACAGAAGAAATCTGAGGCTTTATAATACTTGATCTAGCCATATTTCTTCAAAGGTACCAAACCAACATCTTCAGCTTTAATATTTCTGTACCATGACTTCCCAATTTTTCAAAAGGCAATAATACTTGCCTTACTGTGATGCAAAGTGAATTGTTAATAAATGGTATATAGCAGAATTGTAATACCATGCGTTTAAGAAGACAGTGTAACATAGTGGATAGTATGCTGGCCTAACCTGGAATTAGAAGCCCTGGGTTCAAATCCCACCTTAGACACTTACTGGCTGTGTGATCATGGGCAAGTCGCTTAATCTGTAAGAAACTCAATTTCCTCATCTACGAAATGGGAATAGTGATATGTGTATTACCTAAATCATTGTTATAAAGAAAACATTTTTGCCAACATTAAAATGCTTTGTCAAGGTGAGTGATTATGACTACTGTAATGTTTTAGTATGGTGTGGCACAGTACGTATTGTGAAAATGGAACAATAGGTCAGAAACTAAGGGGCTATGAGTTCTACCTTAAGCTTTGCCACTTATAGATTGTAACTTGCTTTATGTCTCTCAGTATCTTCACCTGTATGGTGATGAGGAGCACTACCAACCTTTCACACCTGGTAGATATGAAGAAAAAGTCTTAGAAATGATGTAGATTTTTATCAAATGACCTCAATAAAGCATCCTGCAGGGAAAAGGCATTGCTCTTCCTTCCCTCTGACCAAAGAAACAACATAGGCAAATATATGATAGATTTGTAGCTATTAATGGGACTGATCTTCCCATATGGATGGTGTTAAACTGCTCATTTTGGAAATGTACATTCGGTCATACAAGTCACTTCCATGTGCTGAAAGTATTCATTTATTAAAGGCATGTGAGTGAGCTGAAAGACCCAACATAACACCTTCATACTGTGGGCAGTTTTCTACCCTATTAAGGTCCCAGGTCCCACTTCCTTATATATACATACAGATATGCACATAGACTACATATACATGTATGTGTGTGTGTCTATATAGCTATATTTTATCTATATAATGCATATATACAGACACATGCATTTTTAAAAAGCAGACTTGTGATTTCATTGGTGTTTTAAAGGAGATCCTAGTAAGGAACTTCCTCTACTGAGCTCTCTGGGGGCACTAAAAGGTTAAGTGACTCATCCAAGGTTCTATAACCCATGTGTGGCAGAAGTAGAGTCTTTCAGACTCTAAGAACAGTCCTCTTTTAGTTCCTTTTTTCATAGGAAATTCTGGTTCAAATTCTTTACATCAAAGGTAGATTTAAAATCTATGTCTTTAATCAATAAAAATCATCCTTGAATTTAAGTCTTTTCCCATGTGGCTATCAAAGAAATCTTACCATTGATGGCATCTCATTAATGTTTTACTAATAAAGTTTGGGATCCGAAAGGATCACTGGAATTTGACTCCTTTCTAACTCCTAGAAAAATTCATTCCAGGTCCAAGGCCACATCCTATGTTGCAAGGATGACTTAGTAGGGGAAGCTAAAAACCTAGAACATGTGTTAGCAAAAATCTAGCATCAGCTATTGCTGATCTGGTGTGTTACCCTCCAGAAATCCCTTCCATTCTCAATGCATTGTCTTATGCAGCATACAATTGTCACACTATCATCTTACTTCGGAGGCATGTTGGGAAAAATAATTTATTTAGTGGCACTATATAAATATCGTAGTCTTAATTAGCAGAATGGGTAGACCTATGATCAATCAGAGGGAAATACCATATCAGGAGAAGGCAAATGTTCATCTGTATGAGCTATATTACTTATCCCAGGTGGCACCTGTCTCAGGTACTCACTCCAGGGAGTTGTCGCTTGATGTCTGGGAAAAGATATTTCATTTCACATGAATGAATTGTTTTCTCCTACAAAATTGCCTCTTTAATCTTGGTTTACACAGTGATAATGCTACTCCTATTCCTATTCCACAGCTATCATTTGTCTTCCAATATTGTCCAAATCTGATCTGAGGATAGTTTATGATGGTCTATGATATTTTTCAACTTGTATGATGTTATTTTTCCTTTAACATAGATGCCATTTTTAGGCTGTAGTTTATATTTAGGGTAGGTCTATATTCAAAATTACACAGTAAATAATGTACAGAGCTTCAGACTTCTGTCATCATTACTAAATCCAACTCTGTAAAGATAATGGAACAACCTGATCATACCTGTTTGGAGACTTTCAGCCATGTTTTCTTCAGTCTGAAGATTGCACTGCGGTTCATGGAGGAGGTGATTTCTAACACAGCATTGTAATTGTGTAAGCATCGGCAGATGTCCGCCACAGCCACCCACTTTTCAATGGCACTAACTCGGGCATTGACATCCTCGCTTCGGAGGATTTCTGAAGCTATCAGGTTACTGATCTTTGGGAAAAAAAAAACAAAAAACAAAAACAAGACCCAGAAACATCATTTCAATAAAGTAAAAGACATTGGAAACTTGTTTTAACAAGGAGAAATTTCTTATAATTGTAAGATTTTGGAGCTGGAAGGGCCCTTTTAAAATCATCTAGTCCATCTTCTTTACTTGACAGTTGAAAAAACTGTGGCTTAGAAAGTTTAAGTGACTTCCTCAAGTTGTCTCGGCTAGTGGCAGACCTGAGATTGGATCCCAAGTCTTCTGACTCTTACTCAGTCCAGTATTCTTTCCACTATACCAGTTGTGTGTAATTTTAATTTTTTAAAATAAAATTGGATTTTCCCATTGACATGTCAAAAATGCTTTTCCAATGTTTTAAGTTAACTTTCAACAATTTTGCTTTAAATTTCCCTGCTTTCATACTTATCAATTAGTTGGTCTGTAAACAAGAACTTAAAAATACTGGGGAATTCCTAAAAAGAAAATTTGAAAAAATGAGAAATTGTTTTGGGATGTGGATAATCACACCAATTTATCTTTTTTTTTTTACACATGGCAAAATGTGGGGATGTGATGGCTATCTTTAAGCATCTGAAAGGCAGATTTATAGAATTAGAATTAGACTTTTCTGCTTGGCCCCAGAAGTGAAACACTAGATGGAAGTTGAAGAGAGGCAGATTGGATTTGATAAGGAAAAAATTCCAAAAAGTAACCATCTAGGAAAGGTAAAAAGAATAATTATCTTATACAAATGTGGTGTGAGAAGAATTGACACAAAGGAATTATTTGAGGGAGGAGGGCTGGTAGTTCTGGAACCCTACTCTCATTGGGAATGGGTTAAAGAGGGAATAATATATATATAACTAGAAAGGTTTTTTAAAAGTTTTCTAAATTCAGAAAGAAATAAAAGGATAAGGGTATAGGGAGGGGGGAGAGGGCGAGGGATTTTTTGAGGGAACCCTACTCATCAGATCTGGGTTAAAGAGAGAACAACATATACATTTAGAAGGGAATAAAACTCTTCTAAATTTATAAAGAAATAAGAGGGTAAGGGAATAGGATAAGGGGGAGTATAGAAGTGTGTTTAGATTAACAGGAATGGGAGGATAAGGGAGGGATCTTTGGAGGGGGGATAGGTTAATTAATAGGAGGACAAAGTAGCAGGTAGAAGTAAAGTAGAGAAGTTAAGAGGAATAGGAAACAAGAGATACACACAAATGTAAAATAAAGATCAGGAGTAGAATTTGTAGGAAAGAAAAGCAAGGGTAGTAATCACGATCTCAGACAAAGTTAAAGCTAAAATATTTAATCAAAAGAGGAACATAGGAAAACCACATTATATGTCAGCCATATTAGTTAATATTGTTTTAAACTATTTAAAATAACCAGATAATATAAGGTTGGAATATTGCTATGGTGCAGGAAATGATGAGTTGGTAGACTTAGAAAAATATGGATAGACTTGGACTTATGAAGGAAGACATTTATCTACCTTCAGAGAAGCAGGACAAACAAGTATAGTACAGAAGACTTATAAGGAAGCAAGGAAAAGATGGACAGCTCTGACTACAGTGTGTAGTATTTATTATGTAGGCTTTCCTGAAATAGAAATTTATTAATCCTCTCTTATGTTCTGCCATGCACACGGCAATGCCTTTTTTCTTATTTTGTATTTAAGTTTATAATGTTTCTTTTTCTTTTCTTACTGTGTATTTGTTTAAAATAAATTAATAAAGAAATAATAACAAAAAAAGAAAAAGAAAAAATTCCAAACAATAATAACTGTTCCAAAGTGGAACGGGCTGCCTTAAGAGTCAGAGACCTCTTCTCACTGGAGATCTTCAAAAAAAGAAGGTGGATGAGCTTTGATCATATTTTCTATAGAAAGGATTCATTTTCAGGTATGAGTTGGCCTCTTTCAAATATGAGATTCTGTGTTGTGGATGGTGTCAATCCTGGGTGCTAGTTGAATTTGGGGGCTGCATACAAAGATAGCCCAATAACATATGCATACACAAAGTAAAGGGAAAGCACAACCCTGCTTATAATTAAACATGGTTCCTTGGGGAGAGGGTAAAGGAAAAAAAAATCTCATTCTCAGAGCTTGAGGAATGGCCACTCCAATAACTAGTGTGTTTCTATTACTGGTATTTATATAGTGATATGGCAAGAGTAGTGTTGATATTAGCTCCTGGTTCTCATTATCGCTGATTTATTTATCCTGAAACTTCTTTTTGGAGGCATTTCTTTTCAGTAAAATAAAGACACAATACAATACAACCACTGTGAATTCCGACATCTGGCACCTCTGGTTTTAAGCAGTCTTAGTTTTTGCATGTTTTGTGTTTCTGGAAAATAGATCTTATGTGCATTGCCAGCATATAAAATAACACCTATGCACGTGCTTTTGGTTTCATAGACATTAGTGGAAATTGAAGTATGGGCAGGTATGAAAGGGTGGAAAGTCACTGTAATAGGTCTTTATTTTCCTGATGGACAGGAGAGCCAACTTGGCTAAAGCAGCAAGGAATCCAGAGGGAGAAGCAGGAGGCAGCATATGTCAGGGATGTCAAAACTACCATCACCACCTTGACAACCGTCTTCCTTCAGACCCTGATTGGTTCAGCCCAAGAGCCTTGGAAATAGTAGTGCCTCTTAAACCACCAGATGTGCTGGTGGTCTAGCCCAGTTCCCATAGTCATCATTGAGGAGGGAAATCCTTGTGGAGAGGGGGCCCACCTTTCTCATCACCACCAGTAACAACTGCTGAGCAACTGCTACCAATAGGCAGATAGAAAGACATAGGAGTCCTGGAGTAGCAGTACCCTCAGACCAATACTCATGCTTGCAGGTTAGTTGGTCTTCATAGCCGTGATCCAGAAAAGCAACTCCTGTGGAGAAAGGACCAGCCATCCCTACCAAGTGCCATACATAGGACAGGCAAGCCAGCTTAGTTGAAGCAGCAACTTATACTTAGATATCTTTCCCTGAGGGAGAGAAAGGAAACAGCATGTGCTGTGCAAGTCAAACTACTACCACAGCCTCAATTGCCATCTCCCCTCAGACTCTGGATGCTGAGCCCAAGAACCCAGGGATTAGTGATATTAAATAATGACGTTAGAGATGAGGCACTAACATCTGCTTTGCCACTGCACCATAAGGACCATGAGACTTTCCCATGTGACCTGCGCCAAAGGCTTCCAAATGTGTTGTTTCCCTGATTTAGAATGTGATCTCTTTGAGAGTAAAAACAGTATCACTTTTCTGTTTGTATCTCCAGCTCTTAGCACAGTGCTTCGCACGTAACAAGCACTTAATAAGTACTTGATTCGTTCAATCATTCATTTATTCATTCAGCAGTGTCAAGCAAGCAGAGTGGAAAAAATGGAGAATACCTTTACATAGAATTAAAATTTTTAACTCTTTGTCGTGTCAAAGAAATATTATACATGGCAACTTGTTTTTCTATCCATCGTACCACTTAGCTGTCAAGGAATTGAACCTAGGCTTTCCTGATGTTATCAAATGAAATGACTTCAACTAGGCAACTAGGAGGCTCAGTGGAAGGCTGAGGTCTACCACTAGACCTAGAATCAGGAAGATCTGAATTCCAATCTGGCCCCAGACACTTACTAGTTGTATGACCTTGGGAAAATCATTTAACCTCTGTCTGCCTCAGTTTCCTTAACTCTAAACTGGAGATATTAATAGCACCTACCTCCCAGGATTGTTGTGAGGGTTAAATGAGATATTTGTAAAGTGTTTAGTACAGTGTCTGGCACATAACAGATGCTTAATAAATATTTGTTTTCTTCCTTCCAAATTGTTAAAGACATTTTTGATATTTTAAAATGTTTACCTAGAGATCTGACTTTTGTAATATAAATTCCAGGAGACCAAGACTTCTTGGAAGTATGTATACAGGAAGAAAAAGAATCTGACATTTTCTAAAGTTGAACCTTTCTAATGATATAATAGGCCAATAGATTATGAGACTTCCATTGCTTTACCTTCAGTCAACCATTTTAAATGATGTAATCAAGCCAATAAATAGAGCCATACTCTCTGCAGCCAATGTAGATGGGTAAAGGAGACATAAGTCTTTGCTTCTCTTAAAAAGCTTACAAGGATCTGGGAGAGAACTCCAAGGGAAATTCCCAATCAAATTTCTAACAAAAACATAGGTTTATAACAAAGGGGAATGTAGAGTAGAAAGTTGCCACCAATCCTATACTTACATCATTAAAATGCTTGGTAGTTTTCATGATGTAAGGAGTCCTTTCATTCTTTTCAACCTTCATCCAGCCTTGTCCAAAAAACTCTCTGAGAATGACAAAGATAAAAGTAAGGATAAGTGACATTTGTTCATAGCTGAATTTGTTGACTACATACAGAGACAACCTAGATACATGTATACACAGAATGGAGGGAAAGTATGGTATTGCCTATAATTAAACTGCTTATAATTACTTATAATAAAACTGCTTGTAATTAAACATGACTCCTTGGGATTTCCTTGAAATCCTTGTTTTACCATGCAGAAATGTCTGATGCTATTTCAAACCCCATATTTGTGTTTCTTGTAGATAAAGTTTACATTTGACATCAGCCTAGCAAAATAGATATTTCTCTACTTGGGAGCCTGGGGCACCAGAGTACTGTTATTATCTATTAAATCAAAAGTGGGAAAGTGGGAGTAAAATAAGTTTCTAAGTAACATAAGCATATACAGTCAATTGGAAGAATAACTTCACAGAAAGGCCTAGAATATTAAAATTGGAAGGGTGCTTAGTGGCAGTACAGAGGAAACTGAGGTTCAGAGAGGGAAATGATTTGACTATGTTTTCAAAGAAGAAATGGTAGAGCCAGAGCTGCCATCTATGTCTTCTAATTTCCAGACCAACACACCTCTCTCTACTACTCCTTTAGAACTCTATGAGTCTCAAGTCTTACATGATGGGTTAAGAAACCTGATTTGTCTTCATTGTGAGATTTGAGAGTGCGAACAATTTTTTCATATGCCTTAACCATATAATCTCTAACTTCTGCAACATACCTATCTCTTTTAAGAGGCTCTTCATTCTGAACAATATAGTATTTTAAGGTTTGCAAAGTGATTTTTTTATACATTATCTCATTTGAATCCAATTCATACTAAAAATCTCTGTGGAATCAAATTACTAGTTCTTAAAAGACTTTTCTGAGTGAGGAAAAAAGTCATATATGAGAGGCAGTGCTGTTAGTAGAAAGAGTCAGCCTTTGAGTCAAGAGGACCTCATTTAAGTCCCTCTGAAACACAATGGTTGTGTAACCATCGCCAATACACTACTAAGCTTCTCTGGGCACTAAGCAACTGACGTGAATTGGTGGATAAAGTTCCCTTCACCAATGAAATCATAGGTCTGGACTGAAAAAAGAGTGATATGTTACAGAAAAGATCAAAGAATCCTGAACCATATTTAAAAAAAATCACAAAACTTTAACCGAAACTAACCCAAACCAGAAAAAAACCAACTAAATTCCCAAACCTTAACTTTGTGCTAATAACAAGATAAATAATCTAATACTTGACCCTAGTATCAAGGAACTTATCTTTCTGATTCCTTAAAATACATTATAATTAAAGTTAGAAGTATAGTGCCTTCCTTAAGCAATATTAATGTTTACTTTTCAAGAAATTCAATAATATGCATTCCAGTGGTAAGATGAAGAGAAGGACATGTTTTTTGAGGAAAATTATACATCTCATAGTTTAGGGTTAGAAATATTTTTTGGGGTTCCCACTATTTCCATTAGATTTACTTCAGGTTGGTCCACACACATATTTTGTGCTTTTCCCCTTTCTTCAAGACATAACTGTTGGTTATGGGAATTGGTGGTTTTATATTGGTCATTGCAATGAGTTGGACAATTCGTTATGGGCAGGAAAGACCATCATAAATGAGAGTTGGATGAAAAATGTTTTCTCTTTGTACAGAAGACAAGATGATAGGAATTACCACATAATATGTCTAAGATAATGTAATAATTTTCAAAATCTGTAAACTTTGAAACTAGATAGGAAATAGCTAAGAAAGCCTATGTTTTTCTTTCTGCTTCTTTATTTCTGTGAAATCTCCAGAGTGTAGACACATTGTGTCAAAAGAGTCACAGGCCACTCATTTATTGGGAAGATGGTGAGTGGATGGTATAGAGCAGAGCTGTCAAATACACCTGACTTACAGGCTGCTTGTGGCCCAGAGGATTGCCCAAACCAGATAGAAACATAATTGGGAAATATTTAACAAAATAAATACAAATACAATAAAACATAGATAATATTATATTTTATACTTAGCAAATATGCTATTCACAGGGATTTTTATGTATGGTTTAGTGGCCCCTATTTCCATCTGAGTTTGACATCACTAGTGTTGAATGTAGTGTGGCCAGCCTGGAGATTTTCTATGACTCTGGGATTGGAATATGATGTTTATGCTGTCAACTATGTGAGGGCTGTGCCTGATGACAGCTAAGCCTTGCTCTACTTCTCTGAGTGTAACAATTGTTCTAACACTGGAGCCAGGCTTGGGGATTTAGAGCCTTAGCTCCTGAGGGAACTGCTGAAAAGTATAGATGTTGAGCAAATGCTTGGATCATGGAGGACGGCTTTGGACTTTTTCTGGGCTGGCCACTGGCTATTACCTTCCATTTTCTGCTAGTGGAAAATCACCTCAAATTGTGGGAATGGGAATACCCTCAAATTGTCTCACCCATCATTCAACACCTAGAGTCTAGAGGTCCAGAAAAAAAAAGTGTAAATGCGAGAAGGAGAATAATCATTTGGGGAAAGGAGACAAGCAGTAAGTGTGTGTGTGTGTGTGTGTGTACATTTGTGTGTCTGTGTCTGTGTCTATGTGCATGAACTTTAGGTAAGTTGGTAGAAAAGTCAAACCCCACCCCCTAAATATTTCTATTTTAAGTTATAGAATGTACAATTATGATCACAATGGAATGTCTTTGTACTGCTTTAGAAATTTATCTTGTATTTCTTCATATTCAGTGGCAAACTTCCAAAACCAGCATATGAAAGGGGAATAAAAGCATCCCCAAAGGAAAATTATAGTTACTCACTCATATGGAATCTTCTTAAAGACCAGGTGGTCCAGTAAAGTCAGCTGTTCAGCTATTTCCAAAGCAGAGTGGTTTTCAAAGGGTTCTGCTTTCACTCCTTCGGCCTAAATGAAAGGGTCAACAGTTGGTTTAATGCAATGACATATAAGGCATTTTGACATAGAGGGCATCTTGTGTTCTGTTCTGGATGTCACCTTTTACAAAAACCATTCATTGATAGCTGGCGAGAATCTTGAGGAAGGTCATCTGGATGGTTAAGGACCTTAAGTTCATGCAGCATGAATATTTAGCTAAAGGAACCGAGGCCTGAAGATGAGAAGACTTAAGGGAAAAATGATAGCTGTTTTTAAGTATCAGAAGGACTCACACAGAGAAGGGGGGTTTAATTTCTTCTGCCAGCTTCCAGAGGACAGAACTAAGAGCAATGAGTGGAAGCAGCAAAAAGGGTAAATTTAGGCTTTACATCAGGAAAAACTTCCTAACAATTGGAGTTAGTTGCTCAAAAGCAGAAGAAGCTGCCTCTGGAGGCAGTGAGTTTCCCTCCATAGGCAGTTATACTATAATCTGGCAGAGTCTGGCTGGCTACTTGAAGGGTATGTTTTAGAGGGGATGCTTATTCTGGTTCTGGCTGGACTAGATGGCCTTTGAGACCCCTTCCAATTCTGAAATTCTATGAATAATATAGATAAGGCAGCAAGGGATGAACATTGCAAACAGTGCTGGACTTGGAGTCAGGCCGACCTTGGTTCAAATCTAGCCTCAGACACTTACTAGCTCTGATAGAGGAGATTGCCTTAATCCTTGGGGTACATGCTTCTGGATCTTGGATAGAACCCCACCCAATCGGGAGACCTTACTTCTGTTTAGAGTGTAAACAGAATCTAACCTAGGTGAATTTCCCTTAGGAAATAAGCCCAAGTCATTGCACCCCTCCATTGGAGTTTAGGGTGACCCAGGTCACGAAGGAGAAAACCGACCAGAGTGGTCTGGGTGGAGATGGATTCCCTGTCCAGATTACTAGCGGTGGCTGACTGTCATGATGAAGCCACATTCTCAGCAGGGGGAGCAGAAGACTTTTAGCCTACCGTCTCATTTCAATGTCTACTAATCAGGGTTGATTTCTCCTGCCAGGGGCATTCCCTTTCAAAAAATACTTAAAGCATTCAGTGTCTCCATTAGGTGTCTTTGGCTGCTGACGGAAACCACTGACAATCAATGTATTATCAGCTAGTTTAATTAATAAATTGATTATTGATTACTCAGAAATTCTGTCTCCTAGGTTTTGCACTCATCACAGTTGACACAGGTATATACAAGCGTTCCCTCTGTTGCCACCCCAGACTTGTGGTTTTCAGGGAGGGGGACTTGAACTGAAATTTGACTGTAAGATCAGTTCTCTATCCACTCACTGTAGACACTGCCTTTCATATTTAGTGTATAGACAAATAATAACACTCACACAAATGGACAGTGAGTGTTCTCTAACATGGGATTATTGGTTACGCAAAGGTGCTGTGTTCAGGACATATGATACCATATTCTGAAAAGGCCAGTTAACAATAGTGCTGGAGTTGGACTTCATTTCTTGTACTTAACAGTTCTTGAATGCCCCAAATGCACATACAGGACAGTTGCGAGGATGAATGCTGTTGACCATGATTATTGTTTGGTTCTGTCCAACTTTTCTATAGGTTGTGTAAAATGCCCTGAAATGAGTTAGTAATGTGATCACTGATGACTGAGTGTTGGGAGGGAGTAACAATTCAAATGTCAAGTCTAGATTATTGGAAGCCTCTTTTGCCATTACTCAATTTGCCTCTCTGGCTCAACCTCAGAGCTACTGAAAAAGAACAGCTTATTGTATCACTCACATACTACATTACTAAAATCCACCTCCTTGGACAGGTAGCCTGGGAAACTATCAAAAGACAAAATTGAAGGAGAAGTAGTGACCTTATGCAAAACAAAAGAACATTTAAGATTGAGGCAGAAGAAGCCGTTAAGATAGGAGTTACAGGTGGCGTGGCCCCTAGGATTCATAGGGTCCTCTGTTCTAAGTCATTTGAAGCAGGTCACCAGGTGGGGAAGAAGAGAGGAAAGGAAGCAGAGATGCAAAGCAAATGCTCTGTTTAGTCATAAAGATTGTGCTGAACATTGACTCTCTTGTGCTCCGCCTTTAGGGCACTGAGACGGGAACAAGAGTATGAGTAGGGGACTCCAACCCACAAATAAAGGAAAAGAGGCAAGAACCTCCTCTTCCTAAATTAGGAAGAATTTATGCTACCTTTGAGTAATTCCATTGTATTACAATGGTAATTTGCAATTCATCTATGATAGTTATCAAGAAAGATGATTTTAAGTCAAAGTGAGAGTTAATTTCTGCAAACTGGTGAGGAAAAACAGAATTTAAGAGGTGATCTCAAAATTAGATCCTATCCAAACAGATTGTTTATGGACTAAAATTACGGAATACTTTATGTTACTTTCTTGAGTGAACATGGTCTAAAATTATGGAACATTTTATGTTATTTTCTTGAGTGAACAGGGACCAAAATTATGGAACACTTTATGGTACTTTCTTGAGTGAACCCTACTTTAATGACTATTGAAGCATCTAAGAGGAGGAAACATGACCTCTGGCAAACATTCTGTTCTAGAAGATCAACAGGAATGAGGTTTTTTAAAACTTAAGGGGTAACACATTCAGGATAAGTCTTCTGCTATAAGTGTAAGGGGGCTTGGCTGCAAAATCAATGATGATTTCATCTCAGAGTTGAATAGGATAATATAAAGCAGAGTCTCAGATTAAATTGTCACATAGGAATGTCCTAAAAATTAACCTTTTTGCTATGGGAGGGGGGAAATTTGCACCTCTTCCTAAACCCGGACGTAATGTTTTGATTTTCTCAGCCCTGACCCTGGATATTGAGAAGTTTCCTTACTATGGTAAGAAGAATTATTGGGCATGGTAAGTTCCGGGGAGTAGGAGGGTCATTAGGTTGCCTAAGGAGGGGAAACACCAGACTAAAGCAGAGAAAACAGAGCTAGGTAAAGGTATTTTTACCAATCAGCATTGGGATTTAGCCATGAGTGGTTGCTTTACTTCTACCTCGGGTAAGGTAGGAAGCCCCAACCTCAAAAAAGAGAAAAACATGAAAAAGAGAAAAAAAAGGAATTAGGTTAAATAGATTAGGAACCTAAAAATTATAACCTTGGCTAGTGAAGAGATGAATTGGTGCAATACGGTTCATGTGTCTGGTTTGTATTAAAATAGCCCATCCAGTACAATCCAATGTGGTTTAGCATCTCAGGGATATCCTGAAATGTGTATATTGTTCGCTTTTGGCAAAACAGAGATGAGGAGAAGAAAGATGGAGTGGGCTAGATCCAGGTCCAGCATGACAAATTATATATCCTTATGGTAACTAGCTTTAACAGATTAGAGATAATTTTGCCATCTTGAAAAATGGAGTTCAACTGGGTCGACCTCTTCATGTCCCATACTGATTTATTTATGTGTCCTATTGATGAGTTCTATTTCTAGGAAAAGGAAAGCCAGGTGGTGCAGTGGATAGAGCACTGGGCCTGGAGTCCTAAAGACTTTCTGAGTTCAAATCTGGCCTTAGATACTTACTAGCTATATGACCCTGGGAAAGTCACTTAACCCTGTTTGCCTCAGTTTCCTCAGCTATAAAATGAGCTGGAGAAGGAAATGGCAAACCACTCTGGTATCTTTGCCAAGAAAATCCCAAATGGGGACATGAAGAGTTGGACATGACTGAACTAGGCTAGATGGTTGTCTAATGATATAATCTGAGGCAGAAGCAGATCATAGACTATAGGCACAAAACAGTTAAAGACTTTTCTCAAAATAATCTCTCCTACTGAGACCTAAAATCCTACCATTAATAATACATTCCTTTGGGTTAAGCATTATCCCCTCCCTATTCTAGTTCTCAGGAATAATTACAGGATTTATCAGATTTCCTTCCTTCTTAACAGGCTAGATTGGAACAACATGAGAGTACTGGACTTCCCAGTAGGAAAGAGTTGCTGAAAGGGGAGGAAGCGAAGGAGAAAAAGGAGATGGTGATAGTAGGTTTGTGGAAGATAAATTTCCCTATTTTGTAATCCTGCCTAAGTTTGGGTCTGTCTGCTAACACTGAGGTCCAACTCCAAAGTTATTTTGGGGAACTTGGGTGGGCAAATGAAGAAATAGATGAAAGTGAAGAGAAACTTCTGAGCAGTATTAATTTTCTATGAAAACAGGATTTACCATCTGTACGATCTCCTCCAGTGTGATCTGGTTGTCTCCTGGGTCTTCCTGTGTCAAAGTCCTAGGGTATGAAAAGGTAAAATTAAACCAGATGATTATGAGGTACTGTTAGAAAAGATATCTGCTTCTAATCAATCAGTCAAACAAACAACAAATGTTTATTAAGCACCTAAGGGTGGGCTCAGCATCGTGCTAAGTGCAAAAGAAATCTAAAACGTGCCTTCTATCCTCAGAGTTTATTATCTACATAAACAGAATAAACAAACATATGTAAAACAATTGGTGAAGTAACATAGTCTTCAATAAAGCACTAAATTGTGCTATAAAGATGGCACAAGTGATTTAGAGAAAGGAAATGTCTATGTTTGCTGGAATTTTCATGGAAGAAGTAGGTTTTGAAGGATGGTTAGGATTGGAATAGGCAGAGAAGAATTGGGAGAATATTTCAGACAGAGGAAAAAACACTATTAAAGGCAAATAGGGGACTGGATTGTGTATGTGGAAAAGGTGGATAAGGTTGAACAGACAATGATCACATCAAATTAGGGAGCGACTTGAAAGTTAGGTGGAAGACTTGGAACTTCATACAGCAGGCAAAAAAGGAGAATTTGTGCTTTTGAGCATGGTAGTAACAAGATTAAAATGGTGTTTTAGAAAGGTTAACCAGGTAACAATGTACAACATACATGCGTTGGAGAAGAAGAGAGAGACTGGAGGTAAGGAAAATGACTAGGAGATAGGCACAGTAATTCAAGTATAAGATGATGAAAGTTTGGACTAGGATGGCGACAGTGGAAATGAAGAGGCAGAGAAGCATCTAAAAGACAGTGAAAGAAATAAGAGAATAGAGAAGTAGAAGGGAAGGGGGAAGGGATAAATATTTAAATGCCTGCTATGTGCCAGGCACTGTTCTAAGCACTTTACAAATATTATTTTATTTGATCTTCAAAACAACCCTGGGAAGTAGGTGCTATTATTATTCTCATTTTACAAATGAGGAAATTGAGGTACAGAAAGGTTAAATGACTTGCCCAGGGCCACATGGCTAGTAATTATCTGTAACTGATTTTTATCTTGGGGCTTCCTATCTACAGGCCCAGCACTTTATCCATTGTGCCACTTAGTAGAGAGGTAAGTGTTGACTGGGATTATGAAAGTTTCTAGCTTTGAAGAATCATTAACAATAGAAATGGAGAACTTGGGAATGGAATTAGAGGGGGAAGGATAATAATGAATTAGGTTTCAAACACATTAAGTTTGAGATGATTGAACATGTAGAAATATGCTATAAGCAGCTGGGAACATATCAGGTGAGTATTTACTATTGGAGAAAAAGGTTTAGGAATTATCAGCATAGAGGAGGTAGTTGAAACCATGAAAGAAGCAAGTATGCTAATAATAATAGTAACTCATATTTGTACAGTGTCTTAGTTGTTGAAGTACTTACCTCACAATGATACTGTGAAGTAGGTAGATAAGAACAGAGAGCTAAAGATTAATCTTATGGTTAAACTCATAGTTAGGGATAAAGAGGAGGAAGAGGAACCAGAGACACAAGATGGGTCAGAGAGGTAGGAAGAGAACAAGAATAGTTTGGTGTAATGGAAGCCAAGGGAGTTTATAAGTTTAAGAAGAAGGAGGCATTTAATATTATAAAATGCTGTGGAGAGGTCCTGGAGAATGAGGACTGAAAAACAACTATTGGAGTTGGAGATTAGAAAACTGTTAGGGACTTTGGTAAGAGTAGTTTCAGTAGAGTATTGGAGGCAGATATCAGATGAGAATGAGTGGTAAGGAAATGAAACCTGTTGATAGAGACCAGTTGTTTAAGAAAAGTAGAAGTGAAAGGAAGTATTAGTAGTTAAGAAGCCCTTGTGTCCTCTTTTCTTCCTCTCCTCTTCTTTCTTCCCCTTTCTCTTCTTCCTTCCTTCCTTCCTTCCTTCCTTCCTTCCTTCCTTCCTTCCTT